GATATGTAGTATTCTGTAATTTATACACATATTCAAAATAATACGTGAGCACTTCGTTGTGATGTAATGGTTAACAAGCTTGTTTCGCTAAAGCATTTACGTCAGTTTAGTGTGTTCAATCCTCACTGGGTGCTCCATACATTCGACCTCGTGCCACATTTAGGCTACGCTTACTAAATCGCTAGGGTAATGGTTAGTAAATTTGTCTCGATTACGAGTGACTTGTAATACGCTTAGTAAATTATCATACAAATTAGCAAAGTACATTTATTAAAATTCTCTTGAATGCCGGTATTTGGTTAAAAACATCTTTTATACGCTGTTGGGTAGACTGGGTTATTTAGACTCGCGTGGCAACCAATCTAAGAGAAGGAAAACTTTGAATTCCAAACCGTGTAGAAGACAAACGGAAAACACGTCATAGTCATATCCCCAAATGCATGGTAATTGATGGATAAAGACGAAGAAGATCATATTGAGAGCCATGATCGCCGACGTTCTGAAGTGACGTGGTACTTCATTTTTTTTTTTGCCTGCGTGGATAGTTTAAAGGTTTTTGGTGTGGAAAGATGAATCGGTGAGCTGAGTTCAAGCTCCGGCCTAAGCTTGTAAAAGGCATGGATCCGTTTCTTAATCCTAACTGTTATTAAATTATTGCATCCACTGGTGAACGCCCCTTTTTCTCTTCCAGATCCTGTCTCGGATCCGTGCGTAAGAGAGAACCTTTTGCAGCATATTTCTTTTTGTTAAGCCACGTCAGCGTTTGAGAAAAGGTGGTGGTGGTGGTGGGGAATAAAAACAAACGTGAAAATCTAGACCGGTTCCAAAATGAAACGCAAACAAATGAATTTATAAATACAAAATAAATATGTTAATTAAAAACATAAGCACGAAGCTTGACTTACATATTGTTCCGACGTTTACGATTCCCATACCAAATGGAAATCAAAGTAATGGTAATTCCAATTAAACAAAGACATGGAAACCAGAAAGTGATCTAAAAAAAACAAGTCTGAGAGAGAGAGAGGGAGAGAGAGAGAGAGAGAGAGGGAGAGAGAGAGAGAGAGAAAGAAAGAAAGAAAGAAAAAAAAAAAGAAAGAAAATCCCAGAACACGTCAAACAAAAGGAAATATTCTGTAAATAATCCAAATCTGTGATAGAGTAAGTGATAAGAATTCTCCTTTTTCACAATTAAAGCGAAAACGCCCCAGAAAAAAAAATGACAAGCGATACCATTTTTTTCAGAGTGTAGCCAATAATGTTTTTGTATGGGAAAAAGAGATATTTGAAAGCAAATATATTAAAAACAAACAAACAAATAAAATCAAAATATATCCGGTCAAAAATTGGGAGAAAAGTAATAAAAATATCTCCCTCGTGACTAACTTAGCTATGAATAGTATCCTAGTTTCAGAGGTCGGTGTTCATATATAGTAAAGAAGCCAGGATTTGGAATGTCGATTTTCAAGGCAAGCATTGCATGTAATACTTCCTACCTTGAATTTGTCCCTATTATGTCTTTTACCATCAAGCATTTAAATAAAAAAAAAAAAAAAAAAAAAAAAAAAAAAAAAAAAAAAGAAAAAAAAAGAATAGCCTCGTTGACAAAGGCGCTTAAAATGATACTCGAACTTGGCCTTATTGAGGTCAGGTTTTTCTTGGCTCATGTTCAAGGTAGCACGTCCTGGGGTCATTAGAGCAATACATTTGTGGTACTATATTGTTCCTTACCTTATTTTTGGTTTGATTCCCGACTAAGCTAAACTTATTAAATGTTGAGAGAAAAGTCAATTGATTGAAATGGAATGTTAGAATGTTTTTTTACAGGTGAAAGAAAAACAAAAGGATAAATTCGTACTTTGAATAAGTTTGTGGTAACAAGTTTTGAAGAAAATGGACACTGCTTTTCATATATATTTTAACTTGTTTGATTTATTCCAACTGTTTTTCTCATCTTACTTATAATAGATGTTATTAATGGCACAATTTTTCGGATAAATTGCCTCGGTATATTGCTCGATTTATTCGAACTGACTATTTCATTTTGATTATTGTAGATGTTATTAAATGCAGCATGTTGCGGAAAATTTGTTTCGGTATTATTGCTCAATTATTCGATTTATTTGAACTATTGAAATATAATGGACTTTACTCAAATGATACTGACAATTGTTAATCACAAAAATCAAACGACAGATTTATCAAAGACGCAAAAGGAAACCTATGATTATAACAATGTGTTGAAACTATTTGACATTAGAGTTAAACAAGCTTTAAAAGTACTTCGACACGAAGACTGAATGAATATATGCGTTGGTCGATTAACTGTTGCTCTCATTTTGTGGTTTTGAGTTCAATCCCTGGATCAGGTTATGAAATATTATACACTACAGGGGCAAAATAACACAGTAATAAGCATATTTACTATACCCTAAATAAAATGGGTAGCACGTGTACCTCGAAGGGAGGATAATGACATGATCAAAATGCCGATGGTTCACATTGGCCCAAACAAAAGGTAAGGAAGGAAACCCCAGTTCGTAAACAAAGCACGATTATCTCTCTTTTGTTGAGACGAAGTCATAAGAGCAACGTGACGGACGGTGAGTGATCTCAAGTTTTAGAGTGACGAAAAACAGTTGCTATTTATTACCTCTGGAGGCAAGACGTGTCGCTTCACACTTGTTGCTATATTGACGTCACAAGCCCACAGCAGTAGGGCAGACAAAGACGACCACATGGCCTCACCAGGTATATAGAAGACACAACTGGCCTACCCGATTTTCCCCGGAAAATATTACAAGTAAGACCCTCTTTCTCTCCGTCTCGCTCTATCAATCAGTTAAGTGCCATACATGATACATGCTTGATCCTGTCTCTTTTTAGTAGTGACTAACTAGGTATAAGATTTTCAAGTAGTAGGTTGTCGTTTCTTTCTGCAGTAGACTGGTTGCTACCCAATGATTTAGGATCCAGTCGGTCCTACTATTCAACCCATAGCTGCCGGGAGAAGAAATGGATTGATTCCCAAGGGTGTTTGTACGTAAATGGATTCCGGTTCTCCGTTTTCTCATTCCGAGCCATTGTCCATTACACCACACCGCTTGTAGTTTACATGTTATAGTTTCTTTGTGTGGGAGAAAGTTGTAATAAGTATATATATATCGGTAAAAACAAACTCTCTTTGAGTAGAATGAATGTTTGTTGTTCCGTTCTTTCAGCGATTCTGTCCCTTCTGTTAAGTTGTCATTATTTTACGCTTATACTGCATAATGGGGGAAATAGAAACCTGGAAATATCTCTTTTTCCTAGCACCCCCATTACCCACATTATTATTGTAAAGGCCGATAACAGCACCGAACTTGAGAAACCTATTTTCCTGAAAATTGTTTTAAGGGAAAGGTTTTACAAATTTTAAACAATAACTTCTCTGGCTGCTTGGTCAATGAATACTGAATGTTTTCTTATAAGGAAACTGCTAATATTGCCGTTACCATATCAACGAAAATAATAGACATCTGGGTGTCAATGCCTCGAATAAGATATATTTTTCGGCTAACCTAGACTTAGTACATTAGGTCAGATAATTGAAAGAATAGTAAAAAATGCCCCCTCCCCACCAAAAGTATGCAGGCGCAGTAATAATCAAATGTCGAAGCCATCTAAAATTAGAATTAAAGGTTCCATATTTACTACGATGGCGTAGTAGATATAGATTTTGGCTAATTAAATGTTTTTAATACTGTTCTTCGCCCACTACAAGACCAAACGGTTGACTCGAGACAAAAAAAAAAGGTTAATGTTGTAGCGATCGGTAAAGCAACCCCTCGGGAGTCTGTTCTACAAAGTAGCGGTTCTTGGTAAGAAGCTGTTCGAATAGAACATTCTTCTTACCAATGAAATACGAAGAGAACAGAGAGTATGCGTTGTCTGGCTGTAAAGGTCTGAACTTGTAGAACCAAGGAATGTATTTCTTCAGGACATTTGCCACGGAAATAGCAATGGAATAGTGAGAAGCTGACAACATTTTGTTTGTGTGAAAAGGATTGCAGGGTGGGACGTAATTAATCACCTACAGTGTTCCATAAACACTTTTGAAATCTGTCAAGGTTGAAAAGAGAGATCTGAGCAGTCTCATCTCAGTGATGTCAGCAATAGCCCGTTTTTGGTCTAATCTGATTCTTGTCAAAATAGAGCATGCCAGGAGGAGTCCGATACTTTTTAGAGCTCTAGAAGGAACCGAATATTTTTCTCATCATCTTTTGTCAAAGATACATAGCAGAATTACCAGATTAGATGTGTCAGCAGGATCCAATGCAAGGACTTTCCTAGTTGCAGAGTTGGTTCACTATAGAGCGAGAGACAATTTTTGTCACCAGAATCTGTCGTACACCTTTAGATGTCTGCAATATGACGGAACTGAAACTTGCACGTTACATTTAATGATCGCATTTAGACCCAATGTTTTTATTCTTATTCTATGTACGCTGATATATAAAACAGAAAGAAATAGAAGTCAATGGGACTTTTGATGAATGTTTTTCAAGTTATTTAGTTTGGTTTCAATTGCAAATAAGTTAAGTCCTAACGAAAGATTAAATTTCCTAACGTAATAAATTAATTTCTGGTATCAAATAACTAAAAAGGGAGATACTTTTATTTACATTATCGCTAAATAAAATGTCATTTGATTTAAACGTTGCGTTGTAAATGGGTGGTTTGTTTGTTTCTGTGTTGCTTTCTTTCTTATCAAACACGTTATTTGTCAGTTTTTTTTGTTTCTTTCTCTTCTCTTCAAAGTTTCGTTTTTGTCTTGTGGAGTAAAATTCGACCAGTTTGCAGTAAATTACAGGTTAGGTAAAATGAAATCAAACTAACACAACGGAGGTTAAATGGATTTTTATTTTAGTTTAAAGATAACAAAATAACTACGAATTTTTAGTTTGCTGGATAGATTGCCACAATCAGCTACATTGATGTTCGCACTCATTTGGTTTTAGAAAGTTCAGAGAAATACGCATATATGCATATCTGCATCTATCTATCTATCTATCTATCTATCTATCTATCTATATCTATCACAATTCTTTGATCCTATCTATCTATCTATCTATCTATCACTGTTTCTATCTATCTCTATCTATCTATCTACAATCTATGATCCTATCTATCTATCTATCTATCTATCTATCTATCTATCTATCACAATCTGATCCTATTCTATCTATCTATCTATCTATCTATCTATCTATCTATCTATCTATCAATCTGTTTCTATCTATCTATCTATCTATCTATCCTTCCTTCCTATCTATCTATCTATCTGTTTTTCTTTTATCTATCTATCCAACACACATCAACTATCTACATCTACATACATACATACATCTATCTATCTATCTATCTATCTATCTATCTATCTATATCTATCGGACTCATCTCCTTAAATCTGTTTAATATTTCAGACATAATTGTCCAAGAGACTCATCTCTAAACTAATATTTCTGATAATGTTTTTTTTTCACTGGATAGAACGTTGTACAGAGTGAAACCGCCTTTTCATCAAGATTGGACATAACGCCAGTGGCCCAACAAGGTCTGAGACAACCAGAAACAATTTACTTTCAGGTCATATTATGCCGGCTTTCCTTTCCTACATGTATGTTCCCAAAATTAACAAGATTCCTTCATTCTCAAGGGTGTTCTAATAAGGACTAGAAGTCTCTAACACCTAGTGGCCTATCCGCGTGCCTGGACACCAACTCAGGCATTTCTATTGGGACATGATCCTCAATGTTAACTGTTAAATCAGACGTATAATCAATTTAACAAGAGATTACTGTCTTTGTTTTTCTCCTTTCTCCTCCTTTTCTTTTATTTGTTTTACTCCCTATCTGGACTGAGTCTTGTTTAAAGGTAAGGAAGGGAATTTGGGGTCGCTTGACAACAAACAGAATGGCCGCCTATAAAATAGCAAGAAAGGAATTTGTGTATGCTTGGCAACAAACAGAATGACCTCCTGAGTAAAGAATCGGTCACCTACACTCACGTTACATACATCACCAAGTAGAATTTTGGTATTGTAATTTTAGTTTCCCGATGACCTCAGATGCCAACAGTTTACGAGAGAGACTCTCACCATACGATCGTGAGGGATGAGAAATATATTCACAAACCTATTCCATTACTTGCTATGTAGGAAATTTTGAAATTTCGTTCCGGATATCTTGGATGTATTCAACTATTTAATGGGTAAATGATAAAGGAAGATCATATCAAATGAATTCAAAAGGAATTATCGTAATTCTATCTTGGATGCAATCCAGTTAACCAAGGGAAAACGGAACACTGATATTATTCTGGAATTCTATATTTGACATTGCAGAATGAAGAACAGCCAACTTTTGTGAACATTCTACAGAAACTTTGTCTGTCATTACGAATATTCAAGCACCAAATTCCTGAAACACAATCATTTGAATTGACATGCAATATCAGTTAAGTGGTCTTTTATTAATTATCTGTCATTACCATATTTTGTATTTTATTTTGTTATATAAAATTTATTTACAAATGTTAATCTTGTGTTTGTTGTTCGTCTGTACCTGTTCGTGTGTTCCCATATGAGCATATCCAACTTTTTCTTTTTTTTGAACTTGTAGTTCATATCTTTACATGTTGCGAATTCGTAACAATATGCGCCCGACTAATATACGAGGTCTGATCAAAAAGTATGAGGACTGTTGCTATGGTAACGGAGCTAAAGTAAGTGGATCCGTTTGGTACATATTGATCTTTGAATTTTGTTGCGAACAAACACTAACTAATGTCATCGCTCAATTCCATTGTTTATAGCAGTGCTTGGAAGGAACGTGTGTAGAATGTAATTTTGTCATCACTCCAGAGAGGCTCCATCAACGACCACGGTTTGTGCAATAGTTTTTGTCCAAGCACAACATTCCACAGGTTCAACAATCACTATATTCAACAGATTTTGTCCCTTGCGATTTTTCTCTTTCCAAAAATCCAAGAATTTGCGGCGAGGCAGCTACACGCTATGTCAAAAAGAGGTTCCAGGAATGCCTAAATCAATGGAAACGACGCTGGGTAAAGTGTGTGGCTTTAGAATGGGATTACTTGGAAGGCGATTAAGTACCGAATTGTTATTTGTTGTAGTTGTCTTTTTATAGCACCAGGCCCAATACTATTTGACCTGATCTTGAACATACGCTTTTGTTTTGCGCATGTTTTAGCATGCGCAATCCTGCACCCAGACCAAAAAGACTTTCAGCTAAACAACGTACAGAGAAATGAGTGCATTTTTAAATACGATTATAACTCCTAAAACCCATTTAATAGTTTTGTTTTTAATATTAATAGAGATACCGCCGTAACTCAAGTTTTCTCTTCGGGAAATATTACAAGTAAGGTTCTCATTTTTTTTACACACTGGTTGTTGTTGCATATATGTTATAATTTCTGTGCGTTGATCGCGTGTATATATGTATATATAATTTGTCTATGATGTATTATTATAAAACTCTATTTGAGAACAAATCATGTTTGTCATTCCTTTTACTTTCAATTATTCTGTTCCGTCTGTGAAATGCGGTGTTATATGACGGATATGATAATGCCCATAATGGGGGAAATGAAAATGGCGGAATAAACCTTTCTTTGAAGCTCTCCCAATATAAATCGAACACTGAAAATATCAAAAATCCTGTAACTCACAAATGCTATAGAATTTTTTTATCTATTCTAATCTTTATATAAATAATAATCAGAATATATAAGTAGAAATAATAACATTAATCCATTAATACTAGGAATTATCATCACGAGTTAAGTCCATCTTCAATATTTCAGGACAGAAAAACTAAAAATAGGAAACAAAAAAGTTCAAATAAATCCTGCATACACTGAACAGCTATTTGTTCTGTAAGGAATTTTATTGATTACTAAATAAGTCCAAATCCTTATTTTGACAAACAAAAAATTTAGTTTGCATTTATTCATCCTCGCAATTTTTTATTTGTATCAACTAAAAAAGAATATTTAAAAAAAAATAATTTCTAGTTTCTTTTGAAACAGATAATTCACGTAATATTTAGAAAAAAATAAATAAAAATTCTCTCACAAAACTGCAATGAGCAAAGTTTTAAAATATGCTCATACATATAAAAACTTAATTAGAAAACACATTTTTAAGTGAGCTGGTCATTTTTGTCCTTAATGTCATTTAGGGCTAAGTATTTGCTACTACGTGGGAGTGTTGGGTATAAAAACGACACATTATAAGACTTATCAGTCAACCTTTAACCTGGACAGGCAGAAAGTCGTCTCCTCCATCGCTTTCGGTTAGTGACCATATAGTTTAATCCTATTCTTCAGTTAAGAAGAATATTTAAAAAAATAATGGCTGAGCCTAAAAGGAAAGCTGAATTGCTCTGGCCTAATATTTCGGGAACCATTGAATTTTTCTAAGTCACTAGCAGTCTCTGATTCGCCCACGCTACATGATGTTCTGTAACAAGTTTTACTCTTAAAGAAAGAGAATGCAACTCAGTACAAGACGCAAGATATTCAAGAAGTTACACATTTGGTTGTCAAAACAGTGTCACGTGCAAGTATAGAAATTACAGAACCAAGTACTCCAATTCCAAACAAGGGAATTAAACAGAAACTTAAGTTTAATCAGGAAGTGGGCAGAAAAAAAAACTGTCGAATAAGGCTTTCTTTAATCGCCTTGATAAACTTTTCAACATATTACATTTGATAATGTAATAATATATTACAATATATTACGTACAAAAAGCGAACAAAAGGGAAAGTTTAAAGCAAGGCAATAAGATAGAAAGGGGGTGATAAAAAGAAAGGCGTAAAAAAGAAAGAAAAAAATGGCGTTAAAAAAAGAAAAGCGTAAAAGAAGAAAAGTAAGTTGTGTGTCTCGGTGAGCTGTAATGGACGCTAACAGTTGAGATCAGCTTCATTTCTATTGTTTCTTTCTTAACGGAATTAAAGTAATTATAAAATTAATTTCTGTCGTGACTCAAAGTCTTACCTTTTTTTAGTTTATGCAAATGACTAAATTTAAAAGAAAATAAAAGAAATCAAATTAAGCTATGAAAAAAGGAAATGAAGCAAATTTAGAAAATAGATTGGAAATTTCAAGTTATTTTTTTATTACTGAGTATCAGAGGATTCTACTTAATTCGTGATCAATTGGAACCAAGGATTTATATCAGATTGGTAGCGCTGATGTAATTTGGTCCAGGAAAATTGCAAAGTCTTACGAACGGAAAATTCCAGAGTCTACATCAAAGAAGAGCATTAAACCTATGCAAGAATTGGTTGAAGATGACTTTATTTTTGAGGCTGAATGAATTTCTTTTAACTCGGAAGATGATGAAGTTGACAGAGATTCTCCGGAATCTTCATGTAACGATAGATCGAGAGATTTAGTCACAGACACAAAAGCAAATTTTAATTTGCCCCCAAAAGCGTTAGGTTTGGCGTTTCCAAATTTATTATACTAATATATTTTGATAGGGCATTTTATTTTTATCTGAGAGTAAAATATACAGTTATTTTAATTGTATGAAAATTATCGTCATTTCTAAATATTTGCAGTTTATCAATATAGTGTAATGTATAGAATGCTTGATGTCTAACGTACAGTCTGTCATCACAAATGTATTGTTACATGTTAAAGATAGACTTCAAGCTGGAAACGTTTACTTGGCCACTTGATACCAAAAAAAAAAAAAAGTGCAGACAATTAGCATCGCAACTAGGAATTGTCGCACTGATCACAATTTGGATAATAATATTTGAGCAGATTCTACACCTATACATACCGGTTGCAAATATGGAATTATAAATTTCTTGGAAGATAAAATGGAGTCCACAGTGGTTGTTAATATTTGAAAATTACATATAAAGGAACTTGATTTGCATCAGCACACTTCAGAAAATATTCGGACTCTTTCAAATAATACGTATTGTTGTCTTCGGAACAGCAATTTTTATCCATGTAGAAAAAATGATTTAAATCCGTAATTCAAACACATCAATGACACCAGTGGAAATTTCCATTAATTGCCGGAAGATATAAATGATAATCTTTCAGTAAGGATCAATTTTATGAATATAGAATCGGAAAGTCGATAATGGGTCTACTGATTTAACGCCATTTTACTGAGTCTGGAAGCTTGCCCAGTTCGTCACTCAGGTTTCCTCACAAGTGCAAAACCGAAGAATCGGAGAACCTAGTTCGAATTCCACTCGAATCCATTACATCCGCTTACATGCTAATACCCCTAGGAAAGGTATGAATCCTCTTCTCCATCCAGCTATGAGCAAAAAGCAGGACAGACCGGGTTCTATAGCCTTGGATGGCAACTGGTCTACCGCAGAAAAAATGGCAATCCACTGCGGGAAAAATCTGCCTCGTCAGTCATGTATCGAAAGAAACACGATCGCCTAAGCGTGTATCACGCATGGCGCATAAATTAATGATATGAGCAGAAATAATTTTATTGACACCCGAGAAAATGATGTTGAAATGATTGTGAAACATATTGTATAAATTTTATTATCAAGTGTCGTTTGATATCAAATGTAAGCAATCATTTTTTAATATGCCCCATCAAGTTT